TCTCTTGACAACTACCTTGAATAAGCTTCCATCTAGTTTCCTATACTGCTAATCTATGTCAATTTAAGATATATATATATATATATATATATATATATATATACACACACACACATACATTTATTTGTCTTTCACTATAAGTTTAGTGAAGGAAGCAATCATGTCTGACTTATCTTGAATGAACTACTGATAGTGACTGGTACACAAAACAGTTGGTACTTGTTCAGTGACTGAATGAATGATGATAGATCAATACAATTTCAAACTCCTTTTAGCCTTTTGTACACTTTTTTCCCATAATAATCTCGCCTTACATTTGAGAAAAATAAAATTGAGACAGAGAACTCCCATAAGGAGCCCAGCTTGGTAATACCAGCACTTGAGAGGCAAAGGCAGGGGGATCATTGAAAGTCCAAGGCCTGCCTCATCTACATAACAAGACACTATCTCAAAAACCAAAAGAATGAAAAGGGACAAAAGAAGGAAAGGGGAGAGCTGGAGGGATGGCTCAGAGGTTAAGAGCACTGGCTGCTCTTCCAGAGGTCCTGAGTTCAATTCCCAGCAACCATATGGTGGCTCACAACCATCTGTAATGAGATGTGGTGCTCTTTTCTGGTGTGTAGCAGAACACTGTGTACTTAATAATAAATAAAATCTTTAAGCAAAGGAAAGGGGGAAGGAAGGGCAGGCACTATACACATCTCAGTTTCCTAGCCTGCTTCCTTCCGTCTCCCTGAGCTTCTATGCCATTACACACTTGCCCTCTGCCCTCTATACGTCATTATGAATGAAGCATTCCTCCTATCAAACTTATGTCCTTGATCCCTACCCCTCTCCCTACATAATTAATCTCCCCAAACATACAATTATGCCCCAGGATGTCCCAGCTTTAAAATGTCCTCCATGAAAATGACTGGTCTTCTCCAGTCATTGCCTTAAGTTTAGAATTGTCTCCATGTCCTTATCTTCATTTTTCCCCTCAATATTTCTGACAGGTCTTTAAGCCCCTTCTGTGGCTGCCTCTGTGACTCCTGACTTACTATGTTCTTTCTGATTTCCCTGCTGTCTCTCATTTCCTCTTCCACTTTTCCGTGACCTTAAGATGCTTTTATTCTGTGTGTGTGAAACTCATCTTTTCAGTTAGTCTAGCTGGCTACAGAACCATAGATCTTCATGCCTCCTTCCCCCCAACACTGGATGTATAGAAGCATACCGCCATGCCTGATTTTCACACACGGAATTACGGATCTGACCACAGGCCCTCGTGCCTGCACAACACTGAGCCGTCACCTGTCCCTTATTTGTTTTCTTTCCTTGTTTTGTATCTACACACTGTATATTTTGATCATTTTTCCCCTCCCCAAATCCCTCCCAGATCCTTTCCCACTTCCCTACCCATCCAACTGCATATTCTCTCTCCCAGAAAAAGGTCAGACGAAGAAGCAAAAGCACACATGCCTTTTAAAAAATAAGCCTTTTTTGTTTGCTGCTGTGTTTGTTTGTTTGGCTTTTTTTGTTTTGTTTTTGGGGGTTCTCTTGGGTTGTTTGTTCATTTGTTTTTTCAAGACAGACTTTCTGTAACTGCCCTAGCTGTTGGATCTCGCTTTGTAAACCAAACTGGCCTTGAACTCATACAGAGCCACCTCTGCCTCCTCTTCCCAAGTGCTAGGACTAAAGGCATGTGCCGCCATGTCTAGCAAGATAGAGCCTGTTTAATATTGGCCAACTACTCCTGGGTATAGGGCCTGCCTGGAAGTGTAGTTGATATACCTAATGATTCTTCATTGAAGAAAACTGATTTTCCCTTTCCCAGAAGGTATGTTACAAATATCTTCTTGGCCTACATTCTCTTCTCCATACCGGGATTATACCTAGTTTGAACTTCTACTGGTCTTGCAACGTGCTATCATGGTGTCTGAGCTCATATATGTCTGGATGATACTGTTTCCTTGGAGTTAAGCACCATCGCTGGCTTTTACAATCCTTCTGCTTCCTCTTCTGCATAATTCGTTGAGCCTTTTTTTTTTTTTTTTTTTTTTTGGTTTTACGAGACAGGGTTTCTCTGTATTGTTTTGGAGGCTGTCGGTCCAGGCTGGCCTCGAACTCAGAGATCCGCCTGCCTCTGCCTCCCGAGTGCTGGGATTAAAGGCGTGCGCCACCACCGCCTGGCTATTCCTTGAGCCATGAGGGGAATGGTTAGATGACATTTCATTTAGGGCTGAGTGCTCCAAAATCTCTCATTCTTTGCACATTGCTATTTATGGATCTCTGGGCCAATTCCTGTCTTAGGGTTTCTATTGCTGCAATGAAACACCATGACCAAAAAGCATGTTGGGAGGGAGGGTTATTTGGCTTACACTTTCAGATCATAGTCCATCAATAGAGGAAGTCAGAATAGGAACTCAAGCAGGGCTGGAACCTGGAGGCAGAAGCTAATGCAGAAGCCATGGAGGGTTACTGGAGCTGCTTACTGGCTTGTTTTCTCCTAGCTTGCTCTTCCTACTTTCTTACAGGACCCAAGACCAGCAGCCCAGGGATGGTACCACCTACCATGCATTGGGACTTCCCCCATTGGGAAAATGCCTTAGAGTGGATCTCATGGAGGCATTTCCTCAACTGAGGCTCCTTCCTCTTTAGTTCCTAGCTTCTGTCAAATTGACACACAAACTCAGTCAGTTCAATTCCCATCTACTTCAAGAAGCTTCTCTGATGAGGGTTGAGTGAACCACTGATCTAGAGATATAGCAGTAGGTTATTAGGAGTCATTTTATTGCTATGTTTCTTTGCAAAACAATAGTAGTAGGTTTTTCCTGGGGTCCATGACCTATCTAGTTGCAGATTCTTAGCCACTTTAGTGGTTTTAAGTTTGAGTTCCAGTTCACAAAGTGGACCTTAGACACAATTTACCAAAAACAAAACAAAACAAACAAAAAAGAGAGTGGTTGGATACTCCTGTAACATTTGTGCCACGATTACATCACATATTTTACAGGCAAGTTGCTGTTGTAGTAACTGGGTTTGTAGCTGGGTAATAATGGTGATTACCTTTTCCTCTGGTATTACGAAAAACGTCTTCCAGTACCATGAATGCTAGTCAGTAGGAGTGAAGCTTCTAGTTAGGCAGCAGATCAATTTCTCCATGTTTGATGACATAAACGGTATCTTTAGCAATAAGGCCTTACTGTCAGGTTATGGAAAGTAACCAATAGCTTTAGCAATACTGTGATGCTGGGGGAGGGTATCTATAGGACTCTGTTGGCCAACAACTCAACAAGATTTAACACATTTTGGGCACTGGAGGTTTTACTTGGTGGCTTAAGACATCTAGTTGGGGCATTATCTCTCCCATTGTATGGTGACTCCATTTAAACTCCTTTCACATATATTTTAGGAAGCTTCTACAATAGTAAGTTTCCATAGGGTTTTCAAAAGGCAATTATAATATTAGTTGTCCCTCTCCATATTCCCTCCTTTATCCTGTCCTCCCATCCTCCTCCCCATTTAACATTTCTTTCCATCCGCACCTTTTTCTATCTTCATAGTACTTCAACTTTTAACTTGACATTGCTTAGAGTCATAAGAGAAAGGAGTCCCAAGTAAAGGGTTACCCTTGACCAAATTGGCCTGTGGGTACTGTCTTGGCCTTAATTGGCATGAGGGCCCAGGCCACTATGTGTGGTAGCATTCCCTGGGCAGGTGGTCTTGAACTGTATAAAAAGGCTAGCCAAGCATAAGCCTGTGAATGAGCCAGCAAACAGTGTTCCTTCAAGGTTTCTGCTTTAAGTTCTTGTCCTACCCTGATTTCCCTCAGTGATGGACTGACCCATAAACTCTTTCTTCTCCTAAGCTGCTTTTGACCAGAGTGTCTGTTATCACAGCAACAGAAATGTTAAGCAGAATAATAGGCTATCCAACCAGTCTCTAGGCTTTAAATTCTACTTAAATGTCTATTTTAGTCAGTTTAATGGTTATGACTCCATTTCATTTATGCAATTTACCCAGTTTCTCAAGTTCCGGTAAAAAGCACTTAAAATATAACATGACCTAACAATAACTCAATTACCCTCTTCCCAACCTACTTCTCCCTCCAAAGTTTCATATATTATTAAATAGCATATTACCTACTCAAATGTCTGTCAAAAATCTGAAACCTAGTCTTGAAACCACCCTCCCAAACCCTGCAACAAACACAATGTCCAAACTTGTTTATATAATGCTAGACTCTCAGGATCGGGAAGAAGCCAAGCCTCAAACCCAAAGTGCGTTTCAACTCTCTTGTATTATATCTGTTAATGTCTCACTGACCAAAGCAAGTCAAGGCTTGTTAGAGTCAGTAGAGAGACACATCAAAGGTTATATGTAATTTGAGACGCTATTTTTACAGTCTATCATGTTAACCTTCATGTTTTCATTTCCTTTACCTCTTTAAAATTCCACACAGAAACTCAAGCAATCTTATGGACTTATGGACACACTCATTTTACTCTTTGGCCCAAACCCTACCAAGTCTTTATTTAAAATCCAACCTCAGGAGCTGGAGAGATGGATCACCCATTAAGATCACTTGCTGCTCTTCCAGAGAACCTGTGTCTGGTTTCCAGCAACCGGATCAAGCAAGTTACAACTGCCTTTAACTTCAGTTCCAGAGAGATCAAAGCCCTCTTATGGCTTCCTCAGGCACCTACATGCTTGCCTCTCCCTCCCTCCCTCCCTCCCTCCCTCCCTCCCTCCCTCCCTCCCTCCCTCCCTCCCTCCCTCCCTCCCTCCCTCTCTCTCTCTCTCTCTCACACACACACTCACCACACAAATCTAAAATAGATATCCAGTCTCAATCATAAACTGAAAACTCAGGATCTGACATTCCTCAGTCTACCACACTACGGAATATGGCAGAATACAAAATATAATGTTTGTTGAATGGGGCACAAATGCTTTCCGTGTCCTAGGACTGAGCTAATTCATGAGTTGCTCCACTCTTCCCACGTGAGCAGGATACTCACACGAAATGTGAATTCCATATTGAGGAAAACTGGGTGTTTCTCACACCCTACCTTACAACAGTAACCTTCCTTCCTTCATTTCCTCACTCCTACACTTGAAAGAAAATAAATAAAAAAAAACAGAAAGGCTTTGGCAAACTTAGTCATCACTTCTTCACATTCCATTGGATTCACGTCTCGCGCTACCAGCATCAGAAACAGCGCGGAAAGATAGAACACTTCTCCGCTCGCCAAGGACGAACAGTCAAGGTTCCGCGGACAGATCCACAAAACGGCACGCTGGGAGCTGTAGTCTCCCAGAGAGACATGAGGCGGAGGGGGGGGGGAATCCTGAAGCATGCTGGGAGTTGTAGTCAGGCTGCCTGGACGCCCAATAGGAATCGGGGCCTTCCGCGCTGCATTCTGGGAACTGTAGTCTTTCTGCGACCTCGAACCTTCAGGGTGAAGAGGCGCCCAGCTTGCCGCCATCTTAGGTCTCGAGGTGCGGCGCCTGAGAGTCAGCGCGCAGGCGGGCTCAACCCTGGCGCCGGGCGGGCCCCGCCTCCAGGGTGCCCGGAGCCCGCCCCTCGCCCAGGCCCCGCCTTCCCCCACGTGTCTGCGGCCGAGGGGAGGCGCCTGAGCCGGAGCGGGCTCTCCACCGGTCCGGCCCGGTCCTCTCGCAGGCTTCTGTCAGCGGCTCCCGGGAGCGTCCCCGGCTGCCGGATGCTTCCGCCCCGGCTGTGGCGGGCCGGGCTGGACGCTTAGTGCCCGGCTCGAGCCCTGCCTGAAGCGCCCGCGGGGGTGGCAGCAGCCTCCGCCCCGCGGAGACCGAGCGGCTGGAGGACGAGGCGGCGGCCGCGGGGAGGAGGATGGGGGCTAACCAGTTGGTGGTGCTCAACGTGTACGACATGGTGAGTGCGACCCCAGCCTGCCGGTCCTCGGTGACGGCTGGGACCCCGGCCCGCTGCTTCCTGCCTCGCGTCCCCGCCTCCAGCCTAGTTCTCGGGGGTGGGGGGAGGGGACGGTCGTGCTGTCTTCTAATCCCCAGACTGGCCGGCGCGCCTCCTGGAGATGCCCGGTGAGCCCGAGGGAGGGCTGGGGTTTGAGCCTCCGAGCCCTCAGCTCCCCTGACTGTGGGCCCGACCCCGGGGCGGATGAGCGGCGTCCTCGCCGAGGCTTCCGTCGCCGTGCGACCTCCCCGCCACCACCTGGCCTCCCGAGCTGCCCGGCTTCCCCCTGCCCTGACCCTTGCCTGTTTCCAAAGGCTCAAGTCCTCCAACAACTCCCAAGGCCCGGAGTCTAGGAAGTCACAGCTGCGATGCAGATGCTAGTCTCCCCAAAGGTGAACAGGAGCCAGCACACCCGCGTCTCCAAGGCAGCCTCATTAAAATGAATGAAGCTAAAATTTATCTAGAAAATAGCCCCGTTGAATTATTTAAGATCACAGAGGTGCTCCTTTCCTAGATTCCGAAGACCACTTTCCAGGTGTTGCAACAGGTGGATGACGTGACCACTAGAGAGGGCAGAGAAGCCTTGTTTATTATGTCGTCTAACTTTGAAGAACTGCGAACACACACTAGGGTTCAAAGACAGACTCCCCCGTGGTTGCAATCGCAGTACCCATAGGAGCACCATGTGGAGTATGATCGCCACAGTGAGGTGCAAATTTGGGTTTGTTCTCTCGCCTTTGGCTGCTTTTTTTTTTTTTAAACAGAAACCTGAAAATTTCTCCGTCGTTATTTCTGTTGGCTTAAGACTACTTAGAAGAAATTCAGTAGTAGGGAGTCTTGGTTTTTATTTACAGCTCTTAGCTTTTCTTTGTACTGTCTATACGTTTTTAAATGAAGAGGAAACTATTGATAGAAAGGGATTCCTCGCATCATATCTAGGAGTTATCATTGACAGGGTATAGTATATGGTCTGCCTGTAACTATAAGTGGGGCTTCTAGTAGAGTCTAGTGTAAGTCTGGAGGTGAAAGGACGTAGATTAACGGGCTAGGAAAAGAGAGTAATGATAAAAAAGTTGAATAACAAGAGATTCTAAAGCCGGGCGTTGGTGGCACACGCCTTTAATCCCAGCACTCGGGAGGCAGAGGCAGGCGGATCTCTGTGAGTTCGAGGCCAGCCTGGTCTACAGAGCGAGTTCCAGGACAGCCTCCAAAGCCACAGAGAAACCCTGTCTCGAAAAACCAAAAAAAAAAAAAAAGAGAGAGAGAGAGATTCTAGAAGAGCAGCCTACATTCCTGATTAGAAATTATTCTCTGGATTTAAACTTGTGTTCTGTTCCTTGAGAATCCTTTCTTAGACTTAATATTGCCCTTTTATTATTTTAGTGCCTCCTGCCCATCAGACTTTGGATTTTTTTTTCATGAAGACTATTATAAACTATCCCTCTGGATATGTTTTACTTTGGAGAATATACATTGAGATATCTATATTTTTAACAAACTAATTTTTAATAATTTGATTAAACCAAGACCAGTGGTCATGGTTTCAGAACCCCAAAGAAATCTGTAAAGCAGAGTTTTTTGCTTTTTAGATTAAATTGAAAATGCATTACATGGCATATAGTATGTGTTGTGTGAATTGGAGAAAATCATTACTAATTTCTTTGTTTTTGTTTTTTTTTGTGTGTTTTCAAGACAGGGTTTTTCTGTATTGTTTTGGTGGCTGTCCTGGAACTCGCTCTGTAGACCAGGCTGGCCTTGAACTCACAGAGGTCCACCTGCCTCTGCCTCCTGCTTGCTGGGATTAAAGGCATGCGCCACCAATGTCCAGCTAATCATTACTAATTTCAAAGTGGTAAGGGCTAGGGATGATATTCAAACCAGTGTTTTTTAGAGGAAGAGTGTTTTAAATGATGTTAAAATATGAAGTAATTAAAAAAGAATTTATTCTTCCTGTCACTCTAGTACATAGTTGCAGAGAAAGTAGACAGAAAAAATGGTTAAGTGACCTTCCCAGGTTTTAAAAGCAGGTTCTAGAGTTTCTAGATGACAGTATTGTCTCTGTGGAATGATTCCCTTAATTTCTTACATATTGTGTTATTTCATCAAGAGAAAGAGAAGCATTTGAATAAAAATGTTTAAGAAACGTGTCCTTATATGTTCTTTTGAGAGCTTTTGATCTATACATACTTAACATCACTAATTCAAAAACTTACCATTACTTATTTGACCCTGTAGAACCACAGATAGGATTTATTACCTCTCTGCTTTAAGGAATTTAGGATATCATAACGAAGACACAAAAAGAGTTACAATTTAGAGCAGACTAGCATTATTTTAATAAGAGCAGAAGAAGATCCAGAGTTGACTATTTTGTGGTTGTAGGATCAGGAAATGCTGAAAGAAAAAGGGGGGGTGAACTAGGATCTTTAAGGGCAGAAATCAGTCAGCATGAAAAAGGACAAGAATCGGGAGGCACAGGCCGAACTAGGAGCTTTGAACTGGTACAGTTTCCTGGAGGATAGGATGCATGAAAGAAAACAGCTGAAGTCTCTGTCACTTATAGTAGAGTGAGTGAAGACTCTGAGCCAGGGAAAACAGGTGCTAACCTCAAGTTGTGATCACAATCTGCAGGACAAAGCCAAGTGAATTAAGGTATATATTTTTACCAGTTACACCCATTTTTCAAATCAGTTTTCCTTTGTGATATATTTTGCTTAATGCCCAGGGTTAATTTCTTTTATCTTTGGTTATAATTTCTGTTCTTTCTAGATGCCTTTGATGATAATTGCTTTTGTTTATAAGCCTGGTACATCAGCTGTACAAATCAAACTTTGTTTTTTCCTGTTGAAATCATTGATCAGTACTGTCATGTATCCTTTATTTCTGTGTCACCTGCTTCAGCTATGCCTGTTATTTTTCCTGTTCACTAGATGGGATGGTTATAGATCGTTCCTTCTTTTCTACACTTACCACATATGTGTAAGTAATGAGCAGGGTTGCCTGTGTTACTTTCCTTTTTGTAGAGGACTAATCTAGTCCTCAAAAGATTATGCTAAATTATTTTGCGCTCTCTCTCTCTCTTTTGGTGATTATAGTCCTCTATATACTTTGGAGTAACCTACTACCAATAAAATATGGCCAGGAGTCATTCTCTGAAACTTGGGAGCAGATTATTCATATATTCCCAATTTACTTGTATGTATAGAAAGTCAGAAAATTCAGGTATCTTTCAATTACTGGAATAAATCTTTGTTATACTTTAACAGTCTTTATTTTTCATAGATCTAGAATTTGTATTCTTTAGGCTACGTTAGCTACTAATGAAGTTCTTAAAAATGCAAGTGTTTGTGTTTATCAATTCATCCTAGAGACAAATTTCTTTTTAAAAAGAATGCCTATGTATTTTCAGAGTCTTTAAAAGATAGAAAAGCTGGGTGGTGGTAGTGCATGCCTTTAATCCCAGCACTCAGGCAGAAGCAGGTGGATCTCTGAATTTGAGGCCAGCCTGGTCTACAGAGTGAGTTCCAAGACAGCCAGGGCTATACAGAGACCCTGTCTTGAAAAACAAACAACAACAAAAATAGGAAAGAAACACCTTAGAACTTCTCAGGGCATTTTTGTTAGGATTGTGTTTGATTCTCAGACTCCTCCAAGAGTATAAAGTTACCAAGTATGTTATGGTCTGACTTTTCTTTCATACATCTGTAGATATATTTCAGACTTTCTAAATGACTTCCACGTACACTCATTTGTTACATACTAAATATACTCTTCATCTAACTAGCTCCATACAGTTTGTGAATTCATGTGTCTAGCAATAGACTTTGCCCCTCCTTTCTGTGCCTCTCCAATGCCTTCCTCTCCCTCTGTACCATCGTCCAAATCCCAGCACTGCCACTTTTGATAGCCAACACTCTACTCAGTACCTCAGATCAAAAACTTGGAAGTAAACCTAAATCCTTCCTTATAAGTCCTTCAGTTCGTCAATTGGCCTGGTCCAGCTCTTAGTTTTGGTGAAAGTAAAATAACTTGACAATCATCAGCTTATATGGGAAAGATAATACCTTAAATCCAGAGATTCAAAAACCCCCGAGATAGTTCAGCAGCTCAGTCATGTCATTAAGATTTTGCAACCTCCTACTCTTTTGTGCTCAGCTTGCTGGCTTTTGTCTTTGTGTCCTCAGAGTTGCAAAGTTACTGCCATAGCACTAAATTTGGTGTCATCGTATAACAGAATTATAGAAGTAAGATGTAGTGGGATTCAGGGAGGGGGATCTATCTGTACTCCTACTTTGACAGAAAGAAAAGGCTTTGGCAGAGTCACCCTCTTCCCGGCAGAGATTATTCAGAACTGCCTCACATGTAACCATGCTGAAACTGGATAAGTGGGTCACTGGCTTTCTAGCCTTTGTAGGCAAGTTGTAGTAGCTAGACATCTATAGTCTTCTGTTATGTTATGTATTCACAGATTCTAAAGTCTCGGGCATGGTAACTCATGTCTTTAATA